CACCAGACGTTTATTCTGAGGTACCTCTGGAAGCATTTAACCAATCTTTTGGTTAGCACCCAGTGCTTAACCATTTGTGTCATCCAGAGAGACCTGTCCAATAAGAGTGCAAACCCAACCCACTACCACTGAGTCAATTTCAACTCAAAGCCAGCCTACAGGACACAGTAGAACACTCCAGAATGTTTTCAAGGCTGCAATTTTGACTGAAGCAGACTGCCACATTTTTCTCCCACTTAGCGATGGCCTCAAGCGTGGCAACAATTGTGAGGCTGGCCCAGAACAAGGCAGTGTTTCGTTCTGTTGTGCATAGGGTCGCTGTGAGTCGGTACCAACTCTATGGCATCTAACAACAGTGACTGGTAGGTTTGAACCGTCAAACTTTGAGTTAGCAATCAAGCGCTTAACAACTGTGTCACCAGGGATCCTCCAAGAAGATCAGTGGTGATTAGTTGGGCCTACCAGATTCTGTCTCTTAGGAGTCTGACCTTGAGACATAGAGCAAGAGCCAAGTAATAACTAGGGGGACCAAGAATAAGTACCTAGGGAGATGCAGGGGCACACAGAATGGGCCAAGCAAGACGCCTGCTGCCGAGCAGGGCTGAGAGACAGTGCGCAGAATGGGCTCAGGATGAATGCCAGATGACTTTGATCCTAGCTCACAGACAGCATTCAGTGACTGAACTTTTCACAAGTGGACATTTGGAAAGCCACGACCTTCTTTGGAAAGGTTTTTCCTGTGTGAAAAATGAACTTTTGCTGAGCCATCCTCTTGAATTATCAAAAAAAATTTCTAGCTCAACCAGGATAAAATGAATTTCTCCACCCTGAGAAACATCACTCCTCTGAAGCTGCAGATGGAGTTCAAGGCAGTGCAGCAGGCTCAGTGTCTTCTGCTTCTCCCGAGCTCCAACCTTTTGCTGGATATTCTGAGGGGCAGCGATGAGACTGTGGGGTTTGAAGATATTCTCAATGGTGGACAATGAAAACATCCAGACAGTCCTGCAGCAGAAACATCATCAGCGAGTGTGATGTCATCAATGTAATGAAACTAACAGACTGTAGTCAGGAAAGAAAAGTCACGTCCCCAGTAACCAGGTGATGGGGCAGCACCAACAGTGTCCATCGCTGCCCCTCCCAGGTGAAGATGAATGGATCTTGAGAAGCTGGCTAGAAGGATACTAACAGACACAGCATCCTGGTCCAGCATGGTCCGTGCCCTGCCTCCACTTAGAGTTTCTATCGCGGATTTCTGCTTGGAGCGGCCATATCTGGCCTCACGAAATCTGTTCCCCTACTCTTTTTATCATTCATTTTCCTTTCTGTGGAAACGACCCCTTCTTCAATGGTACATAAGTATAGCACACCACTCCCATATGTCCTGTGTTGTTCCTTTCCCTGAAGTCACTCGAGAATAGAAAAGATCTGAAAAAAATAGATTACTTTTCACAAATGGAAAAAAACACAAGACTTCTGCTGCTAAAGTTTTGAGGAGATGGCCCAGTGGTCAGAATGAAAACTGGAGCCCTGGTGTCCTCATCTGCCAATCTAACCAGCTCCTGGACCTGTTACTGGCAGCACATCTGTGTTAGAGTCATCTGTGGCTCCTCCCCTGCTCCTCCAATGGCACACATCCTTGGCTTCACCTTTGTGTCCTGGGCACCGGAAGTGGGTGTGTCTTCTTTTCCCTTTAGTCTTCTTGAAGCTGTTGTTGAAAATGGTGAGGTCACAACATGGAAGGAGCCTGGCCACCAGAATTAACACTTGAGGCAAGCCAATGAATGAGAAATAAACTTCTATCATGTTCTATCGTGGGAGCTGAGTACACAGTGACATCACACTGAATTATGTCGAACCCAACTCCCCTACTAGATGATATGGCTTGGAAGCCAGAAACTAGATCTAATTCAGCATGATGTCTGAGCCATAAAGGAATCCAAATATGTGCTTGATCAGTGAAATGTTGAAAGAAAGATGGAAAACACAGAGAAACATGAAGATGGAGTATAGCAGAATCCCCTTTCTGGATGCCTAGCAGCAAACACTATTTTCTCTAAAACCCAGCCCCTCATTCACTGGAAGAGGCAGGTCTCGGACTTCAGGCCTGTGGAGATGCAGTCTCTTCCCAAGCTTCCACTGGCTCAGTTGCCCTGGCTTCAATAAATATTTTACATTCCTGACTGACCATGATGATTCTTCTTACAGTTCCACAATTCTCCCTCCATGCTATTAAACAAGAGTCATTATTGAATTGACATGGTCCTGTGGGGTTGGAAACAGCACTCACTTTAAAGTGGGAGAGAAGTTAAGATACTTGTTCTAAAATGTTTAGATTCAGGAAAACCACACATAAAGGCCCATTTATGAGGGACTACCATAGGAGCTCTGGTAGCATAGTGGTTACGAATTGGACAGCGAACCTCAAGGTCAGTAGTTTGAAACTACCAGCTGTTCCACAGGAGAAAGATGAGGCTTTCTGCTCCCACAAAGATTTGCTGCCTCAGAAACCTTATAGAAAGTGTCACTAAGAGTCGGAATCAACTCCATCGCACATAACATAGTGAGAACTACCAGCTGTTCTGCAGGAGAAAGATGAGGCTTTCTGCTGCCGTAAAGATTTACAGCCTCGGAAACCTTGTACAGGGTTGCTATGAATTGGAACCAACTCCACGGCACATAACCACCACCATGCTCTTGTGTGGTGCTGCGGGTTAATGTGCCAGACTGCAAAGTCGTTTGAACTGCAAGGTCGGTGATTCAAGCTCACCAGCTGCTCCTCGGAAACCCTATACAGGGTCGCTATGGATCAGAACCGACTCGGCGGCACTTAGCAACAACAACTACGCTCGGTATATAGCGTCTTTGAAAATGAAAAGTTTGGGCAAGTTGTCTGGTGCAGATTTCACAGCCCCTCTTATGTGTTCTCATTTTAGTATTGAATTCAGATGTAGAGTTTTACATGTATCCCCAGAAAATGTTGGCTTTTAATCTCGTGACGATTAAGGTTGGCCTCCCCATCATTCTCAGTGTAACAATGTGTAAATAACAATGCCATTTTAAATATGTGATTCCTGGATTCTCCACAAGGTGGAAATTTCTACAGGCAATCACAGAACAAACCTTGTTTTTAGTAATAATCCCCTGGGGAAAGACTTTGAATGTGGGATGGTGCTGGTGCAAAGCCAAGGCAATTCAGCCACACCAAGGGAGGAGACAAAAAGAGTTTGTTCGCTTGTGCGCAAACTGGGAAATGAGCAGTTTCAGTACTCTCTAAAACGTGTGCTCCCAAGGTCTTTATTGTTGGACATGTAACCGCTGAAGCTGGGATAACACTTGGTAAAATATCAAGTGCTCCAAAGTCGGAAAAGGGAAGACAGATTTGTATACAGGAGGGTTGGGGGTTACACATGAATCACAAGTTCATAGATTTTTGTTGCAAACTTTCTACGTAAGTAAACTGCACATACATAAATAGTTTTTTAGGGATCATTACCACCCATGAGGAGTCCTGCTGTGGGTTAATGTGCTAGACTGCAAAGTTGGTTTGAACCGCAGGGCCAGCAGTTCAAACTTACTAGCCGCTCCTTGGAAACCCTATACAGTATCTCTATGAGTCGGAACTGACTCAATGGCACTTAACAACAACAACAACAATGACCCATGAATCCTGGTGTGGCGCTTTAGGATAAGCAAGCCACTTCAAGGTTGGTTTGCGCTGCAAGGTCGGCAATTCGAGCTCAGCTTCTACTCCTCAGAAATCCTATACAGTGTCGCTGAACTGACTCGAGGGCACTTAACGACAACATGACCCACCTCTGTTGTCAGTCAAACCTCCTGACTATCTGCTGTTTTCAAAAAAGTTCCAGTTTCTTCTCTGACCTCAGTGGGAGGAAGCCTGGGAAACATTTTTGGAGAATATTATGCATTTTCTGTGGAATGCAGAGTATCAAAGAGAAAGGAGAGCCCGGAAGGGTTTTCCTCAAAGAATTCCCTTCTGGTGCCCATGTGGGGCTGAGCTGCCCCCTTCTCCTTGCCTGTAAAGTGTCTGTCTGTCAGAAAGCAATATAGGCCTGAGTGGCCATGGCCAAGCCTGTGTCCACCAGTTCCAAGAATCTTAGCCTGCCCAAAGACCTTGGAATGCTGAGGGCATTCCTCTCTTCTGATGACACTATGTGTCGTGGTCTCTGCTCCTCTTGCCTTAGGGCACACTCTTCCCCTCACCTAGATTCCCTTCCAGACTGACACCTGCTGGCACTTCACAATTCAGGTTAGGAAACACCTTTGTCCAGAAAGCCTTCCTTGACTCTCTTCACACAGCACTTCTCTGTAGGGGCCTTGTGGCACTGAGAGGTCTCTGTGTGGTTCCTTGGCTGCTCCTGGAGGCCATCTGCTTTAACATACGCTGCACACACCAACAGCCCAGGGCCCAGCATGAGCCTGGGGCAGTCGTGGACTGTCTGAAAGCTTGCTGGACGAAGAATGAAAGAATGCACCCACAAATTTGAGAGGTGATGTGGCAAGATGAACTGTACAGGGAGACACTTGAGAATAAGAAAAAAGCCCAGCTATGTTTTTAGGTCAACCCTGGCTCAGAGAGGGGTCAAACGCTCATTAGCACAACGATGGTGCGTTGTTTTGATATATCAAGAAGCCCTGGTAGCACAATGGTTAAGCACTCAATGGTTAAAGCTCGGCAGTTTGAACCCACCAGTGGCTCCTGTAAATTTTGTTCCTGCAAAGATTGTGGCCTAGGGAGGGCTATGGGGCAGTTCTTCTGTGTTATAGAGGGGTCACCGTGAGTCACAACCAACTTGACAGCAATGACAACAACTATCATTGTGACAGAGGAAACTTAATAAAGAGAATGACCTAGGTAACATGGGGTTGGTGACTACAGGGAGCAGTTACCACCTTTAGGGCTGGAGAACAAAGGCAAAGTTTAGAATGATTAAAACTTAGAAGTGCAAGTAGAAAGGGGTCCTTGGAGCTGAACCTCAGACCTCTGCTTGGCTGCTGCTGGAGTCTCCAGGCTTGGAGGCGGAGCCTCGTGGGGCTGGTACATGCTGTTCTCAGTGGGCTGGCTCCTCAGCACCGTGGGAGCTCCAGAATGTCCACTCAGCTCCAACAGCTGCTCCCTGCTAGACCTCCCACCCAGCCCTGCACATGTGCAATCCAGGGGCAGCACAGGGAAATCTCCACACGGACTTCTGGGGGGTCCCTCTTTGTGCCTTGGGGCCGTAGCCTTGAGTCTGCTCTCTGTCTCTTCTTAGGATCTGCCTCTCTGCTGGACCACCTGGAAAACATCTCCAGGGAGAAGCCTGGGGAGGTGCAGGGCTCCTGCTGCCTGCGCCCTCCACCCCCCTGTTAAGTCTCACAGCCCTGTGCTGGTCTGTGGTCAGTGCCTACAAACAGTAGTTTTTCTTTACTTTGTCCAGGCTTTATAGCTATTTGCAGCAGGAGGGCAAATTCTTTATAATTCTTTTTGGATGCTCAGCATCTGATTTACCGTCTTTGCAGAGCTGTGTGACTTGCTGCATTCCCATTTACACAGTATGGGTTGGAATTGGTTGGAAATGTGTGGAAGACCCTCAAGATACCACTGGGGAAGAGCTACTTTCTCAAAGTAAAGCTGACCATGATGACATGAATGGAGTAAACCCTTCGGGACCTTTATTTACTGATGGGGCACAACTATAAATAAAGAGAAACAGCTGAAACTATCCATTAATAATCAGAACATGGAATGTACTAAGTATGAATCTAGGAAAATTGGAACTGTCAAAAATGAAATGGAACATATAAACATCAATATCCTAGGCATTAGTGAGCTGAAATGGACTGGTACTGACCATTTTGGATCTGAAAATCTCAAGGTTTACTATGTCGAGAATAACAAAATGAAGAGAAGGGATGTTGCATTTGTCATCAAAAAGAACACATCAATGTTTGCCTTTAAGTGCAACGCTGTCTGTGACAGGATAATATCCATAGGTCTACAAGGAAGACCAGATAATACCACTATTATTCAAATTTACTCACTATCCACTAAAACCAGTGATGATGAAATTGAAGAATTTTAACAACTTCGGTAGTCTGAAATTGATCAAACATGCAATCAAGATGTATTGATAGTTACCAGTGATTGGAATACAAAGGCTGAGGAAGGATCAGTAGTTGGAACATACGGCCTTGGTGAGAGAAATGATCCTGCAGAGCTCATGGCAGAATTTTGCAAGACCAGTGTCTTCTTCATTGCAAATACTTTTCTTTTTTTATAATGTTTTATTGTGAATTATATGGTAGTTTACATGAGAGAACTTTAGTTTTACATTCATTCCATCATATATCATCTCATAACCATGGTTCCAATCCCCTCCATGCATCATCAACCAGCCAAAGGGTATATCCTAGAAACCCGCTCCCTACACTCCCCCCCAGTTTTCGGCCCACAGTCCCTTTCCCTCTCTGGATCCAAAGTCCCCAGCCGCTTCATTGCTCCACGTCATCGTCTCTGTCTCCGTCTCAGGCACCTCTGTTTCTCTGGGTAGGGTCCCGCTCTCGGCTCTTCTCCGTTGATGGTCCCAGATAGCGCTGTTCCTACCCTGGAGAATTAATCACTCCCTTCCTTGTTACAAAATGTCTACCTTTGCATTTCCAACACTCATAATCCGTCCTGATAAGCATTCTTCACTACAGTATCGCGAGTTACCCATCTGTATTTCCTTTCATCCGCTCTGCCCAGACAGATTGAATAGTACCCACTGGAGATTCTTTCTTCCTCCATGCTCCCTAGCACTAGGTTCCCCCTTGAAAGCTTGTAAGCCAATCACTTCTTGCCTTTGTAGTCCCCCCCCCCCAATTTGAGTAGCCAATGTCCAAGTTGCCCATCTCCGTCCACTCTGTGTGTGGAGAGGGTGGGAATGATTCTTGCTGTAAGGATTTGTTCCTTCTTTTGAGTTGCTGCTCCATAAGTATAGGTCAAGTTCATCCAGTGGGTTTCATATGCAAGTGCAAATACCTTTCTTGAACAACATAAAAGATGACTATATACATGGACCTCAGCAGACAGAATACACAGAAACCAAACTGACTACATATGTGGATAGAGATGGTGGAAAAGATTCATATCAGCTAAAATAAGACCAGTGACAGACTATGGAACAGAACACCTATTGCTCATATGCAAGTTCAGGCTGAAACTGAAGAATATTAAAACAAGTTCATGAGAGCCAAAATATGACCTTGAACATATCCCACCAGAAGTCAGAGATCATCTCAAGAACAGATCTAACACATTAGACACTAAAGACCAAAGACCAGAAGAGTTGTGGGATGACATTAAGATCATCACACAGGAAGTAAGCAAAAGGTCATTAAGAAAATAAGAAAGAAAAAGACCAAAATAGATGTCAGAAGAGATTCTGAAACTTGATCTCCAGAGTAGAGATGCTAAAGTAATTGGAAGAAATGAGGAAGTAAAAGAGCTAAATAGAAAATTTTTAAGAGTACCTTAAGAAGACAAAGTCAAATATAATAAAATATGCAATGAACTGCAGTTAGAAAACTAAAAGGGAAGAATATGCTCAGCATTTCTCAAGCTGAGGGAACTGAAGAAAAATTCAAACCTCAACTTGAAATATCAAAGGATTCTATGGGCACAATATTGAATGATACAGAAAGCATCAAAAGAAGATGGAAGGAATACACAAGGTCACTGAACCAAAAAGAAATGATGGACCATTTCAAGAGGCAGCATATGATCAAAAGCCAATGGTACTGAAAGAAGAAGTCCAAGGTACACTGAAGACATTGGCAAAGAACAAGGTACCAGGAATTGATAGAATACACACTGAAATCTGTCAACAAACTGATGCAGCACTGGAGGCACTCACTTATCTATGCCAAGAAATTTGGAAGACAACCACCTGGCCAACTGACTGGAAAAGACCCATATTTGTGCCCATTCCAAAGAGAGGTGACCCAACGGAATGTGAAGTCATCGGACAATAGCATTAATATCTCATACAAGTAAACTTTTGCTAAAGATAATCCAAAAATGGCTATAAATATACATTTACAGAGAGAACTGCCAGAGGTTCAAGCAAAATTCAGACGAGGACGTGGAACAAGAGATATTATTGCTAATATCAGATGGATCTTGGCTGAAAGCAGCGAGTACCGGAAAGATGTTTACCTTTGCTTTATTGACTATGCAAAGGCTTTCTATTGTGTGGATCATAACAAGCTACAGAACACTTAACTGTGCTCATGAGGAATCTGTACATAGACCAAGAGGCAGTTGTTCAAATAGAACAAAGAAATGTTGAATAGTTTAAAATTTGCAAAGGTGTGTGCCAGGGTTGCATTCTTTCCCCATCCATATTTAATCTGTATGCTGAGCACATAATCCAAGAAGATGGATTATATGAAGGAAAACATGGTATCAGGATTGGAGGAAGACTCATTACCAACCTGCAATATACAGATGATACAACCTTGTTTGCTGAAAGGGAAGAAGATTTAACATACTTATTGAAATCAAAGACCACAGTCTTCAGTATGGGTTGCACCTTAATGTAAAGAAGACAAAAATCCTCACCACTGGACCAATAAACAACATCCATATAAATGGAGAAAACACTGACGTTGTCAAAGACTTCATTTTTCTCAGATCAAGCATCAACACTCATGGAAGTAGCAGTCAAGAAATTAAATGACATTAAGTAAATCTGCTATACAAGACCTCTTTAAAGTGTGGAGGAGCAAAGATGTCAGCTAGAGGACTAAGGTGCGCCTGACCCAAGCCATGGTATTTTCAATAACCTCATATGCATGTGAAAGTTGGACAGTGAATAAGGAAGACCTTAGAAGAATTGATGCATTTGAGTTATGGTGTTGGAAAACAATATTAAAAGTACCATGGACTGCCAAAAGAACAAACAGATTTGTATTGGAAGAAGTACAGCCAGAGTGCTCCTTAGAAGCCAGAGCGGCAAGACTTTGTCTCTCACACTTGGGACATCTTATCAGGAGGGACAGTCCCTGGAGAAGGATATGATGTTTGATAAAGTGGAGGGTCAGAGAAAAAGAGGAAGACCCCCAACTAGATGGATTGACACAATGGCAGCAGCA